AAAGTCTTAACTTTAACTTGGTTGCATCTGTAGACCCCCTGAAAATACATTCACTCACGTAACGTACTTAAGCACAATTTTAATGCACTTGTACTTTACTTAAGAATTTCTATTTCATGTTACTTTACACTTCCGCTCAGCTTACATTTCAAGGGCAAATGTCATACTTTTTACTCCACCATGACATTTATTTTACATCTTCCATTACCGGTTACTTTGTAGATTAGATTTGACAGTCAAAACGTATAATATGGAAAATTATTAGATGTCAAATGAGCTTCAACTTGGGTAAAATATTCTTTCACTAGTACCATGATAGTTAAACTTATCATAAGGTATTTAATCTTTTAACTGAGATTATATCAAGAAACCATATATAGGTACATAGGTCTGATTGGGATGTTTGTTACTGACACTGACTGATCAAGGGACTTTATCACATGAGTACTAATTACTAACTAAACTAATATTTGCAGACTGATTGATGTGTTTATTTGGGTGTCCTGCGCCTCACGCTGCCCAGCTCTATGCTCTTCCAAGACACTAGACAGCAACAGCAACCAGCATGGCCACAAGCCCAGTCATTATATTCAATTCCAAATATTCAAAAAGAACATATACAATTTCCATACCAAAAGTTGTATTATGTTTTTCTGTCTTAGCTGCAATGCATAAATCTTGCTAAGACAAAACATAGACATATAGACATAATATAGTATTACCAGTCCTACTGACTAATTTGCACCATTGCTTGCTACGGTCTAATAACATCGGAAATATTAATTGCATAAATACTTCAGTGTAAACCATCTTTCAAAACCTCTGACGACTGACACATTGCTACACGGTACAGATCATTATATTGCCCAGCATATGAATCAGTAATACTCCATAATACTTGAAGTACATTTCCCTGTTAACACTTTTGTACTATCACTCATATAAAATAGTGAATGCAGGACTTATAATACATTGTTGTCTTCTTTAAAGCCTCTGAGTACTTCCATTTCTACTAGAGGTCACCACAGTGTGTTGTGCAGTCTGTCCCAGCCCCCTGCACTCTCTGTTGATGACACAGCTGCATCGCACCACATAAAACTGTATCGAGCACAAGCTTAAACACAATATTTCTTTATGAATAACCTGCCCTCCATCCTCCCCGCGCCCCCCTCTCCACTAACACACACACTCCTCCGGATGAAGGCAACATTACCCTTCATTGAACAAGCGTAAAAATCCAATACCTCTGTGCCTGGCGTCGGCCAGACAGGGATGTGCAAAAACAGCTTTACCCATCAATTTTCTAATAACCATCATGAAATATGACAAGAATGGAAAAAAGGAGACTTAACAACACACAAGGGTGGTGGTGAGATATCGGAACACGGGGCCACGTGATTATCGGCCTCTCAAGTTAAGAGCCATCTATTGAACCCTCGGATGGATTTGAAGACACATGGTCTTGTTGTGTGCATGTGTGTGTGTCTGAGTGTGTGTCTGTGAATTCAAACACATCCTCCTTTCATTCTGACCTCTATCACATCTTGTTTGACACACTTCAACCAAAACATTTTAATATAGCGTCACTGTGCAACCCCAGCCTGCGTGAACTCAGTGTTTTTAGGCCTGGAAGTAAAGACAGAAAACTGCTTCACAGTCTGCAGACGAGCCTCAAAAATGTATTGTGAGTGAACGTATTATACTGCGTCATTGTATTGAGTCAATAAGAGGGAATTAAATGTGCTCTTTGGTAGCTTTCCACTGTGCACTCCTCCTTCTAGTCGCTGAGTGACTTAGAAAAGGAGGTTCATGCAAGGCAAGTTGCCCTTGGGCTCGCAGAGGAGAGACAGAGAGAGGCAGCTGTGTGAGGAGCTGTTTTCACAGCTGAGGTAGCCGCCACTGTATCCCTTACCTGCTGCCCACTGTTTGTCTGATAAAGTTCGAGATGAGTTAACTAACATTTGGACTGCCCCATAAACCAAAACAACAATGTGTCTTTACTTTATATCTGTTGGGTTTGCAGTGGCGGATCTTAAGGGGACACAGGCAGCCACGTAGGGTGCCCCCTCCATTCTTCTTCTTAGTTTTATGATTACGTGACATTAAAAAAAATCGAACAGTAGGGACATGGTGGAGTGGCGTGTATGTGGAGAGCTCTAGAATAATAAAAAATGGTGGTTTGTTCTTGAGATTTCAGGCTTTCAAAATATTCTTACTGCCTCATAAGTGGCCACCGAGCAACTTGCATCATACTTTAGATTTTAAACTGAATCTTTCTGATGGATTTACCCACTGATTTTCCGCTTCAAACCCTCCACTGTGACGGCATTTTGTCCATTACAGGCCACTGTACACTGTGTGTCAATGTTCCATTTCCTACATGTCGATAAATGTCATAAATTTTAAGTGTAGCAGGTTTAAACGTTGCTATTATTGTTAAATCAATTGTTATACCTCTGAATGATGACTCTAAACAACAAGGTATGATCCAGGAGAGTGGCAGCCTCTGTATCTGACATGTTTACCATGATCCCCTTTACTTCCTGTGTGTCTCACATCATTAGGAAGTTATTTTACCACCAGTCTGTGCAATAAAGCAGTTTCTTTTCAAAGCAGTCCAATAGATTGCCCACAGATTGATGCCCCAGCTGATGATCAGATTGATATTGTCTCAGTTAATGTGTTTCAGCGGTAAAATGTGAGTGAATGTTTTATAAAGCAGGATAATTGCGCCGGTTAGATGTGTTTGTGCTCATGGCTGCTCTCAGCTGCGGCGCACAGGCTTCAGCAAAGACAGAAACTTGAGGTGAAAGTCAGTTGTCATACGCTCACCGCCTCATTGTGTCTGAGAGCAGAGTCTGGTCACTGTCCGCTCTCTGAGCTCCTGGATTCTTATTTTCATCCTCCGCTTCTTTTTAAACAACTTTTTCAAATAAGAAATCCCAACACTTTGGCTCGGAGGATTTTCTCCTGTCGTCTCCACTTGTGTGTCTGGCTCTAAGTGACGTTGCGCTGGTACCGGGAGCTCTCCTCCATTCCCCGGGAGCGGCGGAGACAAGCTGGTCGCTGCCACGGCGAGTCTCTCGTTCCTGCGCCGCGCTAAGATGTCCCGTTTTAAAGCGGATTTATTTGGCTGCAACAGGCGACACGAGTGGCCGTCCTCGACGCTATGAAGCACTGAAGACCAAGGTGAGAGGCCCAGGCTCCTGGTTTCTTTTTGCATTTCATTCATCTCCAGCCGAATGCCGGAGCGCGTAAACTTTTGAAGCTTCGCTACGACGCGCGCCGAGTGGGCGGCCAAATTGTGCGTCGTGATTAAAGAAAGTAAGGCGACTATTTTGGGCACAGATGGTATTTTTTTCCTGGTTATGATTGTGTGCTTTCATTCAGTATACTCTGCCTTTATATGCGTGGGGAAAGATATATATTAAAAAAAGAAATGAGGTGCAGCTTCAGCATTACAGCCTCTGTTTTGTTTCTTAACCTGCTTTACTCCTACAAATTTATCCAGAACTCACCTGTATGTATATATGAAGCCAATAAGGGCACATGCACGCGCTGTGGGCGCACAGCACCAAGGCGGTATGGGCTCTGCATTCTCACATCTTAAGTTATTTGAAATGAATCAGTCACACTCTGTGCAGATAATAACACACATGATTCCTTGTCATCTGTAGATAACACTGAAACGGCAATCTTGTCATCCAATTGATTTTTTTTTCTCCCATGCTGGAGAAAAAATCTTTATCTCAGTTTCTTAAAACAATATTTGATTACAAGACTTTGACGCATATTTTTCTCTAAGATCCGACTTTCTTCCTGTCTCTCTGATGAGGCCACTGGATGTTACAGGCACCAGCCCAGGTTCGGGTGATGTGTGCGGGGGTGATTAAGGCCTCTCCGGGCCCATGGAGGCTGCATGCTGACTGTAAGCGTCGGCACATTGAGCTGTGCAGAGGCTTGTCAGCCTGCTGCGAGGTTAACCTGTGCGCCAAGTGTCATGACCTGACTCCTGCTAACACCCTCTCCCTCTCTCCAGCCTTTTTAGTCTAATCAATGAGGGTGCGAGGAGACGGTGCACCCTCCTGAATTGATAGAATTGCTCGTTAGCAATTTTATTGTAGGGTGGAGCAGAAATGTTTCGCCTTGTCGCCTGTGGTCAGTTAGAAAACGGGGTTATAACAGCAGATCTGTTTGGCTTTTTGTGTGTGAAATTATAAATAATGCAAGCTCCATTTTCTCTTTTATGTACTTATTCATTGCCCAATTACCCACCGTCACTTATTTGTTTCTCTACATGGCACCTTCACTGACGCCTTTGCGCTTGAGTGGCACCCTCTTCCAATTAAAATTATTTCATATGGACGACTTTCTTGATTTTCACCTGTCTGGAGTTTAAACAACTTCATGAAGGAGCCAAGGGATAGTGGAACTACCTTTACGCAGCGTACGCTCTGTTTTAAATTTACATATTAGAGTTAAATCACTTTTGGAACAATTACGCACAACTCTGGATTCTTGCAAACACTTCAAATGTGACATTTACTTTACATGATGCATAAAATGATTAGTAATAAGCTGAGTTGAGCAGTAGGATGTGGCATTTTGACCCGCTCGCAGCGGATCTGGCAGCAGAGGAGGCAGAAACATAAATGCAATTACACTTTAAATATCTTAGTTTTTTGTCCACGCTCTTGGTTGGCTGCCCAGCACTAACCGTCAACTGGGAGTCAGAGATTTTCCTCCTACTATTTTACCCGGATGCAGTAATTCCTTTGAGACTATTAACGCACGAATTTGTTGGATAATTTAACGCGGGTGAACTCCACTTAAAAGAAGAGGTTCAACTACAGGCGATCCTCCTCCCTCCTGAGTTTCTAACGGGTCCCGAAAGAGGATGGTGTGCGTGTGTGTGGATATGTGTGGGTGGGGGTGTTGCGGGCGCGGTGGAGACGGGCTAGAGGGGTGGGGAGAGAAACCATAGGTGTGCGTGGGGGGGAAATAAGCTGAGTGTGCGTCTCATCTAATAGAGCCTCGGAGCGCATTATCTTCCCCGTCATCTCCGTCTGGGCGGTCGGTGCTGCGCCGTGCCGGGGAGACGTCCAGGAGAAGATGCGTTGATGCGAGTGGATATTCTCAGCCGCCGAGTCTAATTGGTGTGATTCATGTCCCTGTTGAGTGGATGAAACCTATTCATAGTGAGGGAGCAGGAGAGAGAGGAGAGAGTGGGGACGGGAGTCGCGCAGAGATCCGCAAGCAGGACTGTTTGGAAATGAAGGAATTATAAAACAGGAGGGACGCACGCCAGCAGCAGGTCAAAGTTTCTTTTTGTAGAAGTGGGCTTTTTCCTTTCCTGCGGACATCACCGTGCCTCAGATTGACGCCGTGATGGAATGACACTTGGGGAGAAGGATGATGGACACTTGGGCACCAGAGCTCCTGCTCAGAAATCCCCCCCGTTTACACCAGGCGCGGTGCTGACCGAGCCCTCAGGACGGCGATCAGTCATTTGTTTTGAAGTGGCAGGAAAATCCTCCTCTTGATCGTTTTCTCCCCCCTCGGTCGCCAAACTAGAGTGAGAGATGGTGCACACAGCGATTCCTTAGAGACTGACGTGCGTACTCATCACATTCCCGTAAAGGAGCGCTTCTTAAAGAGCTTCTTTCTTCATTCATGTTCATTCTGCTGCTCTGAACTTGTTGAACGGCGTTAGAGAGCAGGGGGACAGGGGAGTATCCCGCACAACAAATGTAAGTTTTTCCTTTTGCTTGTAAACTTTACTTTCCCTGTGTTGGAGTGCACTCCTGGTTATTGGAGTTGGAAGTTACTTGGCTCTGGGCTGCATTTATCTGCTGTAATGATCAGATGAGGAGGGGGCAGAGAGTTGTGCATCTTCTCCTTCTATAAAGCAACTTTCAAGACTCCCACATAGAAAAGCCTATTCATATTTACAACTGAGGCGACCTTGAATGCATCCAAAACTTAACACCATGTCTTCAGGTCATCTTTAGAGGCGCCCCCTTGTGGAACTTAATACCTTATGTTGCCTATCTATCAGCATAATTACGTTGGTGTCACGCTGCAGCCAGTTGGCTACCTTTAATACATCACTTTTAATACTGCTTCACTCTCTTTTTATTATCATTAGCTTCACAATTAATGCAAACCTGCTAGTTTCCAAAGCTCCTTGTGCTCAGTAGCCCAGTGGGGTTGACTTTAGGCAGGTGATTTTACACAGCACTGTGGCTGTACATGCTCTTTAGTTATGGTATTATAATCTGCATGATTCCACCTTGGCCTTGTGTTGGATAATACCTTGCAATTATTGTTTTAAAGGCATAACTATTATCATTAAACATGATGGGTTCAGGGCAGAGGCACATGCTGAGTGGATATGAAACTTCCAGTTGCAGTCAGTAGTGGCTGTGTTTGCACTCCTGTGTCACTGTTTTACTGACAGGTGATAATGAGTCATCTTTTGTGTGTGGTCGTCAGCAGCTGTCGCTTTAAACCATGTGGCTATTCCTGCTTATGCTTCCAGCATGAGAGAGCTACCTGGGCAAGCACATTCTTTGGAGCTAAAGTGGACATTTTGAGCACCGAGACATGTCACTGTGGTTGCAGAATAATGTGCTAGCAGCCTTTTAGGAAAAGTGTCTTTAATAATGCATAAGGTGTTCCTGTGTCGCAAAGAGAAGCATGCTTGGTGGCGAGGAGAGGGAGAGAGAAAGAGGAGTGGAGGGGGGGCCGGAGGGAGGGAGGGAGAGGCGTGATCCTGTCTCACTGTCTCATTGGGCGCCGTGTGCACTGCTGTATATGTGGCGCTGGAGTAACTGACGCCCGAGGGTGTTTCAGCTCGACTTGGGGCAGCGTCGCCACAGTCACCCTGTCAAAAGTGCTGCTCTCGCACACACAGAGCGCATGTGGCAGCTTCAGCAGCTCAGGGGAGGGGGAGGGGGGTGGATGGAGTTAGAAGGGACAGAGGAAGTGATAGAGGATCGTGGCAGATGCAGCTGGTGGAGGCAAGTGGAGCACGTCTTCAGCAGTCAGGGACTCACTCGCCTTCGGAGGCCTGACCTGTCTGGCTCCAGCAGACGTTGGATTTGAGGAGAGGCTGCAGCCACATCCTGTTAAAGGAATGATTACCTCAGCAGGGTTCACGCATGGCTTTTTGATAGCCAGCACTAATACAGCCTTCTCAGTGATTCTCCTAAATCTCTCATGTGAGGATGGGAAAAGCCTCTCAAACATGAGAAACTGAAACTATAAACCAATGAGATTCTTTCAGGGTTGAGACGCTCTCTATGACTCAATTTTTTATTGCATGCAGGTTTCACAGACTGGTTGTACTTTACCATATCAGAGGTGGAAAACAAGCTTCAATGCAAGCCCAGTTTTGGCCGTTTGTCTCGCCAAAGAGCCGAGCCACAGCTTTGATTCCTTCTGAAGCTGCCCACCCATCCCCAAAGCACAGTTACTTAACCAGCTGTCAGCACTCCAGCCATTTGCTACCTGTCGTCATTATTAAAAGATCATAAGCCTGCCGATTGAAGGCGGCGACATTTTAAGAAGTGGAAAAGAGCGCTAAGTGATGGGCTGACTCAGAGGCAAGCCCCAGGGATGCATTATAGGCGTGCTCGCTGTTCCACGGCAACGCTAGCTGTCATGTTTGCAGGGCCATGCTCCACTCTCCATATGTTTATTCATGAGGACAGCGGCCCTATTGGCAGGTTGTTAACAGGCAAGATTAGGGATTCTGGAAAGGCAGGCAGAGAAATCTGGTGAGTGGAGCACGGAGAGCAGGCAGGAGGCTGTTTTTTTTTTTTCTGAAGCCGGGCCAGCTTCTATCTTTATCTATCTTTCATCTGTTTCTGACTGTCTGCCCTCCTGTCTTTCTGCCCTACTCTCTCCTGCGCTCTTGTTTCTCTTTTAGCAAGGCACTGGTGGGGAATATGAAACAGGTAGAGTCAGAGGAGATGAAAGTAGGTAGAGACAGGACAGAAGCAGGGTCAGAAATTGCCCTTGAAAGTGCATAAAATGCGTGAAATTAAAAATGAAAGGGGGGAAAATAGCAGGGATATGAGTGGTAACCTTGTAATTATTCCACCTTACTCTATGCTCAGCTTATCCTTTAGAGCTAAAGTGGACCTTTTTTTTTTTTTTTTTTTTTTTTTCAATTTCGGGACATTTATTATAATTTGTTGAATTTTTAAATAGACAGGAAGGTGTGTAAGTACTGCCCCCTGTGGGCCGCTGTAGGTGACTCGTATAAGATTATGACATGACAGTTCTTTCCAGTGTGTCCTGGGTGAGGAGAAAATGGGCCTTTCTGATCAAAGCAGGAGTAAAAATGCAGTCGGGAGCAGTTGGAAATGTTGGCACCGCTCAGCCAGCAGCAGGAGAAAATGCTGAACCCACACAAACCACCGGTCAATAAAAAATAAAATGATCAATATAGGCGAGAATTTAAAAGTGAACGGATGGAGATGAAGTGGTTGGGGACAGCAGGAAGAAACGCTGTGGGTCAGAATAAACAAACGGATTGTGTGTTTGCCTGTTTGAAATGTAAAGGTGTGATTTTGCAGTTTGATCAAATTGCCACTGAAATTTCTCCGAGTGATATTTACTTTCCCTGGACGACACGTACACCAGCAGGAGATCAGGGTTAACATGAGAAAAGCTGCAGCTCCTTCATTTGATGACATGCATGATTCACAAGTGACTCCCACTCGTAGTAAAGAGCAACTCCGGGGACATGCGTGTAACATTTCCCCTGCGGTTTGGAGAAACACTCAGTTATGCTCGAGTGGCCCCGGGGATGAAATAGAAGCGGACACCAAGAACCCCAGAGACAGGGGAGTGGTCGGTCTGTCGGGTTCATGGGTGCCTGTTTTGGTGGGTGGGATGAACTCGGCGGCCAAACAAACCCTCTCCTGGGTCGACCGGGCCTTGTGAAAGATTCATGTGTTTAAATATAAAATGGAGCTCAGCGTTTGCAGCGCTGGCAGGGTGGTACCTTCAGTCCCCTGTCGTGTCGGGCAGGCTGAGTGCACACCTCACAAACTGGTCGACTGTATGCGGTTTACTAGCACTGCGTAGGGTGACGGTTTATGTTGATATATTTGACCTGAAGCTGCTAATAGCTGATTTTTTTTTACCCTTTTTTCACATATTTATTTAACTCTTTTTAAATTTGATCAAGTTTTAAGCATAAAACATGTAAATGTCCAGTGGTTCCACCATGAATAATCTTTGTAGAGTGGAAAAAAAATCTAAAACTGCATGAGACCATGAGACAGTTGACTCTCTACTGCAATTTAGCATGATTTATTAAAATATTTTAAGGGTTTAATACTTACATACATATCAGGATAACATTTTAGCTTTTCAACTTTCCTGCATCTGCAATTTGTAAATATATCTTTTAAAAGAAACCGTTTTTATTTCCCTCTTTTTTTACACTTTAAAATAGCTGCTTTCATTTGTTATTCATTGTTTATATCTACTTTTTTCATCTGTTTTTTTATGTTTTTTAGAGCCCCCCTCTACCTAAAAATGTGTTTTGCTTATTGTTCCTTCATTCGGATGTTTGACCTTGATGGTGCAGAATGATTTGTGTGCAGTTTGATACTTGAAGGCTGTTTTCACATTCATCTGCTGAAGGAGGAAAGTCTCTCTGTGCTCACTTTAAACCTCGAGCATCACAGCTAGTCTGGAAACGAATCGTGGTCCAAAATGCAACTTACACATGCGATGAGTTACACAGAGACTAAGTTAAATTAGTCATGTGTCCAGTAGTTGAACCTTTGAAATGAAAAAAAAATTTGCATATTCATATTGTGCATTTTTAGTGAGGCAGAAGGAGTACATGTAATTTTAAGAATTTTAACTAGGTAATTAAAGCTTTTTTTTTAATGGAAAAACCATATCAGCACAAATTATTATTCAAAGCAGAGTATTTTTAATTTGTTTTTAACATGTCTGGAGGGGATCTTCAAAGTTTTTTTTGCTTTAATGGTTTAACACCATTACGCACATGTGAAGAACATTTCGGTTTAAACAACTTTCCGGTTGTAAATATCTCCCAAAAGAGGCTATTTTAAATTTAAGCTCTGATTTTTTTATATTTAAATATTTTATATCACAATTTCTCATGTGTGAGTTTTTCCACGTATCAAAATTATAACACAAAAATGGTTAGTCTGGCAGTCACCCTCCCTCACAGCCTCCCACTGTTACTGTAAGTGTTCATCGCTCTGTGCCTACGGTGCAGCATATTTATTCCTGTACAGGGAAGAATTTCAGACTTCCTGCGAGCGCGGCTCCTCTGATGTCCTCGGACCTTGATCGATGGTCGGAGGAAGCGACCTACCCTAAAATAAACCTTTTTTCCTCACTTAAAATGCACAGCCACACTTCTTTCCATCTGCTCTCCTTTTTCTCCCCCTCACCTCTTCTCCTTGGGGCGACGGCGGGTTATAAGCAGGGAGTAATGAGAGGAAGGGGCCGCAGCATCCAGGACGGCGGAGTGATAATGACCCCCGCTTTTGTGATCTCTATTGCTTGTTATCGAAGCCTCGCCACCGCTTGTTGTCTCATTACCTACGTCTTGAACCTCTCTTTATCCTGAGGTTGCACGTGAAGCGTACACACACACCTTCACACACACACATGCAGACACTTTTCGGCCATCTCTTTAGTCTCCTCCTTAACACGGTAATATTATGTCTCTTAATGGGAACAGGGAGCTCAGTGCCAAGAGTTCCTCTGGATAATTGGCTGCTTCCTCACCTGCTGACATCTCCCCCATTGACATTCTTACATTTTACATTCAAGGTGCTTCATATTTCCCCCTTTAACTTCTACCTTATTCCTCCGTCCTCTGACTTGCTATACCTGCTCTTGTATTTTTTTTCACTCAGATTTTACATTGTCTTCCCTGATCACCTTGTGCAAAATTGAATCCCAGTTTCCAGCCATATTGGGTGGATAGCGCTTATTTCTATTGATGTGATGGATCACTATTTTGCACTACAACGGATGTGAGGCAATTTGCAAGATTTTTTTAGTCTGCTTCCACCTTTAGAGACTATTTTCCCCCTATCCTGCCTTGTTCTTGAACGCCTTACCTTTACCAAGTTTTTCCGCCGACACCATCTTGTCTCCACTAACATTAAAGAATGTTTTTTTTCCCTTTGTGCGCACTTTCTGCTTTGTATATGACACATTTGTATGCGACTGAGCCTTTGCCCCTGACCTTGGCAGTTCCTCAAAATGATGATCTATATTCCATCAGATTGAAATGGCTCTGAATGGCATGATGAAAACATCCGACACAGATGCAGCTCTAAGCCTGCTATACTTTGGTACAGCACATCAAATGCAAATATTACCATTAAGTCACACTATTGTCAACGTCTTCTCATATTGTCGTTTCCCAGAAGCGTCCCTTTTTCTGTACGTGTCATTTCCATGCTCATACATCTTATCAATGCCTCAGTAATCAAGTGAATCATGTGGAAGGTGTGTTTCAACACGTCTTCAGGTAGAACGCAGCTCCTATACTGTCCTGTATATACAGTACAGTACATTATTTTTAACTTAATGTCTTTCTCCCGCTCACACTGTCACTGCATACATGCCACCTTCTGCCACAGCTTGTGCTCGACTAATCGTGCTATCTTTGCACATTTTGTTCACACTGAAATCTCTACAAGCATTCATTTGTTTGTGCTACGTTAATATAATCCAATTTTGTCTCTTCTTTTCTGCTGATACATTTTGTTTTTTTAGTAAATGCAGCTGAGACCCAGTGTCTAATTTAATCTGATCTAGTCGTAAATGAAAATTATAATTAATTAGTAATGTGTGTTTTAATAACATTATTTTTCAATAAACAAACACCCTATCTACTCTGTAGATGCTAAATTAATCACATATGACTGGAGGGTGTATTGGTCAGCACACACACACACACACACACACACACACACACACACTGACTGATTAAGCAGCACTAAAATGTCTACCAGTCTGTCCCTCCTGTCTACGACCATTGACTCTGGTCTCCATCCATCACCTGCCGTTAAGCTGCTGTTTGAAGGTGGGAAACACACCACATACCTGTATCCACGGGCCCAGCCAACTGGCCTACCTGCGTCTCTGGCTAGAGAGACTTCACTGAACACACAGGCTGCAGACAGCCTCTTTAAAAGACTTTTTAAGGTCAATTCAAAAACAAAATGGAAAAAAAGGACGAATGTTTCTAACACAATAGGCTACTTCCGATCATACTTTCACAATGTAGACACTGAAAGGAGCAGTAGGAGGGAATACACAGAAAGGAGGGTGTATGTTTGCAAGCTGGCTATGTTTAAATAGAAAACTTTAGACAAAAGGAAAAGTGAGGCCACAGCTCACAATGGCTGGCAGATATAAATGGGAGCTATGTAGCCTGGGAAGTAAATCACTGTATGTGATATAGTGCAGTGGCTCCTGCTACGGGCAGCTCCACCACTTAAGAGAGGCAACTTGGAAGCAGCACCAGTCACAAGATATTTATGTTAACATATGACTGTTTTCATCCTAAGTGGCAAAGTGGGACTGTATCAAGTAAGAGTTTATCCTGTTAGAGTGAAAGTGTGGTGTCGATGTTTTCACTAAAGAGTAAATGAAAGCTGCTATAATCAGTATTCTTGTATTAACTGTGGAGCAGATGATGCTGATGATGTGAGATGGATTGTGTGAAAGGTGTTTCTCATAGCGATGAAGTCACTGGAGCAGAGTTTTCACTCTTTGCTCGGTGAAAACTCTGCTCTCTGGACAGAAACACGACTTCAAATGAATGACAGTGTTGCTTTGTATATGCTGGATGTGTAAATAGGCAACTTTTGGCTAACAAGTTACATCAATGGTATGTCTCCAGATTACTGCACTGCGCCAAAGTGGCCAAACAATCCATTAAAGGACCAGTGTGTAGGTTTTAGTGGCATCTAGAGGCGAGGTCGCAAATTGCAACCAGCTGAACACCCCTTCCCTCACCCCTATTCTTCCAAGCATGCAGAGAACCTACGGTGGCCATCAGGTAACTTAAAAACATGAAAGGCCCTTTATAGAGCCAGTGTTTGGTTTGTCCCTTGTGGGCTACTGTAGAAACGTGGCAGTTTGACATGGTGATATGGAAGAGGACGTGCTCCTATGTAGAACAAGCCTTCAAGATCAGTGCTGAGCTCTTTTCCCCCATAGACTTACCTTGTAAAAGAGACGTCTGTAAATCAGTTGATACCTCCACGAAATGACTCGTTTCACTGTCGAGATTTGCTCCATTCAGTGAGATAACATTTTAAAAGTCTAGAGGAGCCTCACAATTAAATCATTTTATCCTCATTCAAGTTAGCGGAGGGCTAAACTGGTAGTTAGCCACTCAGCTGGTAGAATCTCTAGGGTGCTTGTTCTGTAGGCCCCACGATGTGGGAGATTCTGGTAATCTCATATCACGGAAATAAAGATTTTTTTGGCTTTATGCACCACTGAGCAACTTTCATAGGAATGAACGGGACCAACACTACATCCAGCTCTCTTTATACATCCATGATGTAGATATGAAGGGCTCATTCTTAGCTAATGGAAACACAACGATTCTTAGATTCAGGTAATTATAAACTGTTCATTCATTTTACATAACCGCTTATCCTGTTAGGGGTTGCGGGTGGGACTGAAGCCTATCCCAGCTGACACTGGGCGAGAGGCAGGGTACATCCTGGACAGGTCGCCAGACTATCACAGGGCTGACACATAGAGACAGACAACCATTCACACTCACATTCACACCTACGGACAATTTAGAGTCACCAGTTAACCTGCATGTCTTTGGACTGTGGGAGGAAGCTGGAGTACCTGGAGGAAACCCACGCTGACACAGGGAGAACATGCAAACTCCACAAAGAATGGCTCCCCCATAAACTAAGGAAGACATAATTATGAATACAACATTTCATTTCTACCAATAGAGCCCCCTAAGTTGTACACACTGGTCTTTTACTGCAGGTTAAAGTCAATCAGCAGCCTCCAGGGCTGAAAAATGAAGCCAACACAAAGTGTCAAAAACTACAGTTCTTTGAATGGCCACTTGAGGCTGGCTCCAGAAGACTGTTAATCCCCATAGACACCCATGTTAAAATGCAGACATGTTCACAGCCAGGTACAAAACTGTTCTAGCCTCTTTTGCTAATTTCAACATTCATGACAACTGTACAGGGGTGAACATTTATATATCTCACCTGTTTCACTTTTATTAAGCCAGCTCCAAAAAAACAAGATGGCAACAGTCGAAACCAGTGGGTGATGTCGTGGTAGTTACAGCCTTTATTTTTATATAGTCAGGCGCTAACTGGAGTATATAATTTGTTGCACACTTTGGTTATTTCCATTGTTTGACAGTGATTGCATAAAACATGACGTTTCTTTTGATCTCGATGTCCACTCTTTATCAATCCAACTCATGCAGTGTGGGCTTTGTGGAGTGTGTGAGGGAATTGTGGGGGGGAGCTGTATGTAACACTGTAGGCTTGATACCGCTGAGTGAGATGAGGCTTTGGTGTGAAAGCAGCAGGATCCAATTTACCCTGATGGCCTCGCTTACTGATTTTCTGTGTTTTGATGGACAACAAACACCAACATGGCACCCCTATCTAGCACCCATCCAACTTTCTATTCGCACACACACACCTTTCGCCCGTGCCACTGCGCCAGCTAATGTTCTCTCACTGTCAAATTCTACTCCCAGAAGGGCGGTAAACTCACCCTCCCCTTCTTCTGTTTCCCGTTTCTCCGCAGCACCAGATCGCCACGCAGGAAGAGGACCATGATTGACAGCCAGGCGAGCTGAGGAGACCTGTCACTCATCTTCCTATCAGCGTGTCAGAGGGCTATCTCCTTCTCGCCTTCCCCCCTCTTCCTCCTCCTTCTCCTCTACCATCCTCCTTCCTCCCTCAGTCCTCTCCTCTTATCTTCTCAATGGGCTGGTAACCTCACCATCCCTCGCAGTTATCCGCCACTCCAGAACCCTGAGAAAGACAGAAATAGTTAAGAAAAACAACAAGACACTTCTAAACTGACCCTCGCTCCACCTGAGGGGAGTTTGGCATGCCTCCTCACTCCAGCTGAGTGAGTTGTAGTAAGTGGAAGCAGAAGAGGGATCCCTTGTTAGCACACCTTCAGAAGGAGATACAGCTCCTCGAGAGGGAGCCCAGAGAGGATCAGTCATGCGTTTCCATTTTGCGTTGACGCTGCAGGCGCTGTGGACTGGGGTTTGCCAGGCGGCCATGCAGCACTACCCTGCAGCGTGGGGCCACTACGATGTGTGTAAGTCCCAGGTTTACTCAGACGAAGGCTTAACCTGGGACTACATGGCGTGCCAGCCTGAGGCAGCAGACATGACCCAGTACCTGAAAGTTACTCTGGATCCCCCCAACATCACGTGTGGAGACCCTCCGGAGACATACTGCGCCCTGGTGAGTACATGAAACCCCAAATCTTCCCTTTAAAAACTGTACACACACAATACCAAGGCAGCTCTCTTATCTGTGTGTGTGTGTGTATCGTGTATCTACTCGGCTTGTTCTGACCCCACAGCCGTGACAGACACTTCTAAAGCCTGTGTGACTCAGATATGTTACCGGGGCTCAAGGAAAAAGAGGTTTGTGCCCATTGACGTCATGTTCTGCTGTTTAGAAAGCTGCTCCTCGGTGTGCACTGCAAACACTGTCTAATGTGCTGTTGACGCTGCTTACTTGCAGGAAGCACTGTATAATGTGAGTTTACCAATGAAAACACACACACACACATACACACACTCATCTCGCTCCCCGTGCACCTCAGACTATCATAAAAACACAGTTCCTTCATTTGTTGTGATGTCAGCTTCTCTGTTGCGTCAGTGTGTGTCTTTTAGCAGAGTCAGATGAGTGGGTGGCCTAAAAATTTAAACAAACTCAGGGTGAAAAAGTGCACATCTGGACTAAAAATACAACAGCACATATGAGAACTTAAGTGGAGCACTATTTTAAATGCCAACAAGGTTTTTGTTTTTCTTACGTTTAGGAATAGTTTTGCCTGTGTGATGCTGTAAGTGCTCATTGCTTTGATTGTTTCACTCACAGATAGTGTCCAATTTAGTTTCAGCTTTCATTATTGGTCAGCTCTTGTTTCTCTTCAGCCACTGTGGTTGTCAGTGTCCCTGCGAAGTTTAGCCATGCTACCAACATGGCTGTATGGATGGCAGCATCAGTGTGTCTGTCTGTTGGTCCGTCAGTCCACGTCTTTGGTCTGGACTTAAAGGCTACTTTACTGATTTTCAACCAGCTTTGTATTGTTACAATGACAGTTTTCGTACTGTGTCATTTGGTGGATTTTTGCTGGCTCTTGGGCTGCTGCGGATCAAGAAAGACAGCCGCTCCTCCCCCTCTGTCGCTCAAACTCAGACCAAAGTCAGATCAAACTGTAAAACTAGGCAGTGCTGATGGACTATAAACCAATATTTTGTTACTGTATTGCTTATTTCTCCTCTAAAATGTCTTCAGAAATAAATTTTAGTGCACTGCTGGCTGTAATATGAGAATTTGCCAACAGGAAGTGGATGCTGTACTGTTTCCTGTATTGTAAAAACTGAGATCTAATGATCAAACAAAGCAGTAATGGTCGATTATGAATTAAGATCCTCTTACTTTGTTGCAGATTTCTCACTTAAAATGTTTTCTTAAACATATTTTAGCTCACCGTTTAACTTTAATTTGAGATCGTTTGCTACCAGTGGGCTGCCATATTGTTTCCTGTGTCAAAATAGACAAGATTGCGTTATGTCGCCCACCAGCGGAAGTGTTTATTGGTCCGTTGTGGCGCAGTACATTCTGGTAGTTGTAGGTTTTCTACCTCTTGAGCATATGTGAATGTTACAGCCCTTTTCCTCTGTTTTCTCTGGCCATGTGGTGCTAACACTTACACCAATACAAGTATTTCTACTGTACAGACAGCCCAGTTTTATGAAAAGACGATCTTTCCAACTGCTGGATGGATTGTCACCAAATTCTATGCAGGCATTCACGGTTCCCAGAGGGTGAATCCTATTGACTCAGGCAAAAATTTCATCCGGCCAATACCTTGGTTTATGACCAAATATCTGTAGAATTAATGACATTCCCATCAGCCTCAGCATTTCTTTGTTTTTAGTGCTAATTTGGAAATGTTAGCATGCTAACACACCAAACTAATATGGTGAACATTATACCTGCATGCTAGCATTGTCACTGTGAGCATGTTAGCAGGCTGATGTTAGCATTTAGCTCAAGTCACCACTGTGTCCAAGTACAGCCTGACAGAGTAAGCAGCATCGATGTAGCCTCTTAGTGTTGTTCCCAAGCAGACCAGAAATATAATGTAATACTTTCTTATTGTACTGCATGAATCAAAGAGAAGGAATCCAAATAGCCTTTTCTGCATGACAAGAATTGCACCAATTAGCAAATGTTCTTTTTGTGTAAACTTATTTTGTGACCAAAACACTTTGAAGAGGCTTTCTGAAATAATGAACCAATTAGTTTTTTTCTGTTTAATTTCACAAAAATAGAGAGTAAGCGTTGTTGAATCGCTGAACAAATGTGACACGATTGACTTGTTGAGGAAGGGTTCCACATTGTTGCACTGTAGTTTAATTGTGAGGACTTAAAAGTGATATTTTATTGAGGGATTTCATATTGAAACAGCACAACATAAAGCAGTGATTGGTTGATTGCTTTACCCTTTTAAGTTCATGCGGAGCTGTTGATTCTGCAAATTACATTGCAATCATGAAAATCACAAATTCCTGGCGGAGCTGAAAATAAAATGAGCAAAAGATGCATATTAGGTCAAGTATTTAATTAGCAAACCGCTCTCCTCCTTATTCCGGGTCCTTTTCACTTTGAAACTCACAGCTGGTTTCCTCAGATTAACGCTAAATGATGAATCCATTTTGGGCTGTCGTGTGTTACCAAGTCATCAAAGATTCTCTCAGAACAAATGCACTCTTCAACAGCTTCAAGAGCTCTTTGGATAAATAGCGAGATGTTCCAGGAAAAGTAGTAACTTGAGGAGTATAAATAGACAGTCGCCATCAGCAGAGAGTCAGCTGAGAGGAGACACAGAGGAACAGAGAGGGATTAACAAAACACAGATGACAAAGACAGTGAGAGAATGATCAAGAGAGAAGCAAGACAGAGCGAACAGGGGGAGACAGAGACTCAGAGGACTATGTGCAAAGCATACGGTGACTGAAGAACTAATATCTCCTGCGTGGGGCGGGATGGAGGCTCTGAAATGTGAATAATTCAACATGTTTTGTAGCTAATGTGTTTTATTCATAGGACACATTATTCAGCCCGACATCTCTCAGGCACTTTTGAAAAATGCTGACTCCCATGATCGGCCAAGGTTGGTTGAAGGCAAACGAGGTTGAGGGGGTGGGAAGCCATATCTGGGAGGTCATCGTCAAAATGGGGTCACCCTCCGTTCTCCCTCTGGGCGGCCCTGTGACCTCTGATTGATCCACATTTGAACCTGAAGTGTGTCTGGTGTTTGCTGTGCAGCCACTGGATGAACAGCGGTCATCCGTGCCTGATGCTTCAGTGGAGCCGTTCTATTTCTGGACGCACAGTTGAAACTGAGTTTATTGTTATTATTGCCAGCCTTTTAACAGTCTGATGATCACTTATTGAATTAGTGGGAGTTTGCGCCGCGCTGTCGCCCTCGTGTCTCCGGCAGTCAATGTGATAGGAGTGCTTCAATTAAAACAGGCAGCGGTTAGCTCCCACATAACCATTTCCTCTCTCTGCTCTACTGTACTCATCACAAATCACACAAACATCAATGAAATATGACCCCTGCCACTTGCCATAGAGCCCAATTCTCTGCAATTGGTTTATGTTTACCCCGGGCAGTAACGTGGCCCCAAATCAACATCAGAACAATTATCATTGATATTCCAGCTACTCTGGCTGCCAATACGCTGCTGCAGTGCCAATAGTGGTTTGTATCGTAAGTCAGATCATTGCAGATTCAGGGCAATTATCATTAGGCCGCGTTATCGGAGAATTTCATCTCTCTGGTAATTGATTCTGCACTCGTAGAGGCGGGTGTATTTTAAAGCCTCGCGTCTGCTTCCTGGAGTGCTCAAGGTAAGAGACACCAAAGCCTGACGAGAGGAGAGAGTGAGAGACAGAGAGAGATGCAGCAGCTCGAGGGCGTGGCGCGTATATGAGCATGGTTACCTCAGGTTGCGGCCTTCATCCCACTCAAACACACACACACACGTACGTACGCTCATACACACACCACTCTCCCCAGTAAAGGCTTTTTATTCTGCTTCTAGCCTGGTGACCTTTTCGATAGCAATAAGCTGGCATTCACTGAACTCTGGCACACAAATCTGCCATCATATGAGATTTCACTGTCCCCTCCAGTTCGACTCAAGCTGGCCTTTAAAAGCCTGGACAGGTCGCAGAGCCTCGACCAGCTGATGATTGACTTTGAGCAGGATTCAGGAGAGCGGCTTTGACTTCACACAAAAATTACGTACTATTGCAGGAGAAGCTGATTCAAGTTGTCCAACAAGACTAATAGAGGGTTAGGTTAGTATGACATTTTTTTGGTGGGTGGGGCTTAGCTGGAGGCGAAACAATTCTCCACAGACATTAGCTAGTGCTAGCTAGCGAGTTCTGTTGGCTTTTATTCGACAACTGCTGAAGATGATACGAGTCTCACTGAATACGGTGCATGACTGTCTGAATGTGCCGTTCGGTTATGTAGAGTACCGCATTCCTAATGTGGCAGAGCGTACTCTCAGCACTCCGAGCGGAGTGAATGTGTGATTAACTAAACCATTCATTAATTTGTGTAGGAATATAACGCTCCGTTTCTTCGACCAGCAGGAGAGCATCAGACTGAATTTATGAACGCACCATGTCAGGTCACGCACTCTCCGGTCAGTATTACTTGAATAAGTAAACAATGACCAACGGGACCAGACTGGCCGACCCGTTTGCTCTCACTCAGTGGATGGATGATGTCACAGGAAGCCAATCTTACAAAGAAGGACGACACTTTGAACAGTTTCCTCCAGTTTGCTTTGCCATCGAAGCTAACGTCCTTTGGTCTTATTGCATGTAACCAGAGCCGTCTTGGTTTTCGTTGACTTGCAGTGATGGCTAATATGCGATAATATTTTAGTTTTGAGCCATGTGTCCTTCTATTCTTGCTCCCAATAACACAACAAGACAGCATTTTAAGACTCCCATGTAGCCGACAGCCCTAAAATGATGTCATAAAAGAGTCTATTGACACCTCTGATTGCTTTGTATTCTCAAAATCCCTAAACTTGCAATGTATGTAACTGTACTTGCTACATGTAGACAGCCCGAGCTATCACACCATATATAGAAGAACTCTCCAGGGAGTTATCAGTTTCATTTATTCTGCTGCA